GCATGGACGGACTGTTGTTTGTTGTTTCGCAGGTGGTTTCTTGCAAAAAATTGCATGGCCGGTGCGCGATCGGTGGCAGGTGGCAGCTCGGGTTTAATCAGATAGTTGGTGAGACATTATTAAGAGACCACTTACCAGTTGCTACGATGTTCACCCTGGTTACTAGGGTGCATCTAGGCGATGGCTGGAGTGTTTGGGATGGTTGATTCACAGTAGCTGCATGATTGATTGTTTGAGTGCGTGAGGTTGTTGCTATGGTGATGCTTTAATTGCACTGTGTATTTTCTACACAACATTACCATTACTATCAGTATAAACACCACGTTAGCGTCATTATTATTTTTTGGGTATGAGAATGTGTAAAGTTGCTACGGAGCACGATGACTTTGCAGAAGTTAGAATATCACAAAGATAAAATAGTAAATTAAAGTGTAGTCAGCAAATCAGATCAAAGACAAGCAACTGGATACAGGAACTTTCATGTTTTCTAATAACCGCCCAACTTTCTCTTTCAAAATGAGCTGGAGGTCTTGTGTGTGTGTGTGTGTGCTTGTGCGGATGTGCGAGTTTCAGCGTATGTATTTCTGTGATCTAAAGATTAAAGATAAAAATAAACAAAACGTAAGAATCTGTAGGCCAGATGATCTGTCTGCGTCTGATCTGGGAGCAATAAAGAATTTAATAGATGGGCTGGCTAACAGGGAGGGAAGTCAGAAGCTCTGAGAGAAGGTCAGCGTTCTCACTCAAAAGTCTGACATGCAATTATACTGCACAAGCCAACACAGGCTGCTTGACTACATGCTGAAATAATGGGCAGAAGTTTCACAACAACAGCTAACCTTTGAGTGTTGGAGCTGGACATTTAAACACATGCATTTCCTGCGCAGGAAGGGAGATTGAGAGCGGAATAGGAGGTGGGTCTGGTGTGGCCAAGATGGAACAACAGAAAGGAAGGGGAGGAATAAAGAGATAAGACAGGGAGGGGAGAGCCTGAGAGAATAACACAGAGAAGAAGAACTGGATCAAATGGTGACACAGGATGTGTTGAGGGAGGAGAGACAGGTTGGTGTAAGAGTTCTCTTACCCTCATCCCTCCTTCTCTCTCATCCTTTTCTCTGTGCCGTTCTGCTCTGATGCCTCACAGAGAAGCGGCGGAGGCAAATCTGCTCCCTGCACCCGCTCCGTGCTACAAATCAGTTTAGGCTGCACCCAAATGAACTCAGAACTCAGAGCCCTTACTTCACTCCTGCTGGAGCAAAACATGCAAAGCCAGATCTCTGGAGTTCATTTATGGTCCAAAAGCCAAACAGAAGAAATACCGACTAATCTAAACACCAGCGATCTTCAAATTCCCCAGAACTGTGTACCCTACACAGAAATACGGCATAAGATGGTATGAAATTATATTAGTTAGGAAAGTAACCAGATTCTACACAAAGGCAGAAATGCACAAAACACTGCAAACAGGCAGTAAAAGGGAATTCAGGGTGACTGGAACCAGAACTTACTGTTTACTGTCATACTGTTTTGAGTTTATCAGATCTTTGTTTTGTGATCTATGTATGTGTTTCATTACGTTCTTTGGTAACAACAATGTCGTATAATAAATGAGATTGTAAGAATAAATGTCATTCTTGAGGACGCTGTTCCATCAGACAAACTACAGGAGCGGCTGTTGAGTTTGACCATGACCTTGAGGATTTTGGCCTCATGTATCTTGTTTGTGTTTCTTTTATGCTCACCCTGGCGTTCACATATTCTTCCATTTCCCTGCATTCACGCTGTGCAGCAGTTTCGCAGCAGGGTTCTGTAACTAGCGAGGCACTGTGCTTTGATATACGCTTACACATAAAAAGAAAAAATTCATCTCTTACTTCAACTTTGCAGAAGAAAAAAAATATCGAGTCACTTTGCTGCGTCTATCAGTGTAGCAAAGGTCGCAATCACGGTGCCCAATCAAGAACCAAAAACTTGTAGTTACTGCCTGTACAGAGGGAAGCTGAAATATCATTATAATGAAACTAGGAGTTTGGCAGTCCACATGAGAAAAGGCGATGTGTTCCATTCACCTCATTCTGGTAAAAGAAATCAATGGGCTTCTTTAATTTCCAGTAACAACAAATTAATAGAAGAGTTGATCTGGAGGCAGCAAAAAAAGGACAAAGTGATTTAAAGTGAGGTTTGATCCTGAAGGATGGTGGCGTGTTGGTACAAGGCTGTTTGTTGTGTTATTGTCCTGCAAACTTTGTATTACAGTAAATAGTGCTCTTTTCAGACATACTGCACTGGCTGTTGGTGTCACATTTACAATTAATACTTTTTGTTGTTTTGATTTAAAGTCCAACATGACCAAAAACCTTGGGCTGTGAACAAATAATTAAATAAACATCTGTTTTTAGAGATTTTCCCGTGTTTTTGAAATACAGGAAAATTCTAATAAAACTACAAACATTGGGGTGCGCTGTAGCTCACCTGGTTGAGCTGCCGTCCCATGTACAGGGCTACAGTCCCGATGTGGAGGTCATGAGTTTGAATCCCGCTCATGACCCTTTCCCACATGTCCTCCCTTCATTCTTCTCCCCCACTTTCCCGTCTCTTTCTCACTTCACTATCAAATAAAGGCACAAAGGCCAAAAAAATAACTTAAAAAAAAAAAAAAAACTACAAAAATGGTCAGTCAATGTATAGATCTAGTGTAAAATAAAACAATAATGCAATGTGAATAACAATAAAATAGATTTCTTTTTTAAAGAAAATATTTTTTTTTTTTTTTACATGTACAGCAAATTTTTATTTGATATATTAAAGTGCTAATATATATACAATATAAATCATATCTATTTTTAAAACGCAATTAGTGGCAATTAAAATAGGACATTATATATCAATTTTTTATGTTATCAGTAATACACACATGATGTAATGTAAAATAATTATTGAAAATTACTGTTTGTTTTTACAGTGTACATAAGTAACATGATGAGGTGAAGATGTAAATAATTGCTTTAACATATTTAAAATATATAGTCTGTTAGTTATAAAGTATTGTTTATTCCTATTGTGATGCGAGCCATGGTGTTTGGTATTGCCAAAACACCAAACTGTTGAGTGATAAACATATAACCACAGAGGGTACTGTAAACATGACTTTATAATCATTTTAAACAAAGAAAATAAGGGTAAGTTTTTAGGAATCTCCAAAAACAGAGCAGAGTAGTGGGGTAGTGAAGTGACACATGTCAAAAACTAAATAAATAGCTAAATACACAAGCCACAAGAAATGTATGTGAAGCTGCAAACCCCACTGGCAACACTTCATTCATAATCTGATGACATTGGGAAGCATCAGGAGCCAGATATAAGCAGGAATATGATGAGCTAAGTCGCACCCTGACATGAACAGAATTCAGTTACATAGCTGCTACACAAACTGCTACTTTAGTTTTTGCCACTTAACTTAAGCATTACGTAAGTTTAGTAATGCAGTCAATGTTGTCGAGTGTTCAAGCTTCATTATTTGAAATTCTTCCACATACTGTATCTTACCCACCACTGAGCTACACCTTTAAAGCTCCCCTTAAACCTCAGAAAACACCTTGATGTAATGCCGCCTGCCAAATTATTAACCGGGAACACACACGCATGAACACGCAGTCACACAAACACAAACAGAACAAAAATTACGAGACGAACCGAGCAAAGGAAAAAAGCAGCACCGCGAGGCCACATTAAAAAGTGATATTAATATGCATCTATTCGCACAAACACGCACAAGTGCTGTGTGACTGATGGCTGCTTGTTTACCATTCCATGTTCAGTTAAGCCTTCTTAAGAGAAAACACAGCCCATGCCAAGCGAAAACAAAAATTGAGGGCTTGAAAGCCACCGTGATTTCAGTTAATTGCAAGGAGGGCGTAATTTTGAAGCACTTACTCCTGTGAACAGACATCAATAAGTGAGCTGCAGGAAGCAGTTACATTAAAAAAAAATAGCTAGAAAAAAAAATAAAAATCAATAGACAAACGATTTCTCAAAACCACTCGTTAATTTCTCTCATCTTGAATAAAGCCTCAAAAATGAGGCTAATCGCTAGGCTAACACTACCTCCTCCTGGATGCACGAAGAAAGGTTGTGCTTCTCCCCCCATGTAGCACAAAGGGTGTGTTTAGTGGCTAATCACAGTTGTTCATTCGGCAGGGACTGCTGGAGATCATCCAGGCCTATAAAAGCCAGGGAGCAACACGATTATCCGACATTATGGCATGTACACCTGCTACTTTAGAGGCTGAAAGAAAAGGAAAGACGAGGAGAGGATGGGAGATGATACGAAAGGAGCGAAGAGAAGACTAAAGAGGGGAGAGAATGGAATATGCCCCTCACATGAAGAGTGTGTTTCTTCATCAGGCAGGGCTAATGGATCACCCACTCAACACCCAGGAAATTATCTCAGGATAGCGCCCTCCTTTCCTCAGACATGATTAATTGATCGGAAGAGAGCGAGGGAACGAGAAGAGAGCAGAAAGAGAGCGAGGACGAAAAAAAAAGAAAAAGTGCTGATGTACTTCGGAAGAGAGGTAAATTGGAAACAGTGGGGATCTGAAAGACTTGTGCTGACCTTTTTGACTATTAATGAAAGTGGAAAATGGTCACATTTGAAAATGTCTTCCGTTTCTTATAAAAATCTGGAGCAGGAATGGGCACTGTAGTACCTGTAGCACCCCCCAATCCAGGCTGTTATGATGAGACAGGAGGAAGGAACAAGGAGATGAGGGGTAAAGAAAAGGACAGACAAAAATACACACCGCAGAGGGAAAACCGAAAATTCAGCCTTTCAGATTTTAACTCCAAATTACACCGATCAGTTTACCTCTGAAATTAAAAAGCCCCTTGGCAACACCAAACTGATTTGACCAAGGCTGTAAACAAAAACTACTTTCCCATTCCAGAGTAAAAGTGTGTGTGTGTGTGTGTCTTTGTGCATTTGTGTGCATGCGTCTAACCAGGCTTGCAGTTCTTGCTCTGCCTTGGCCCTGTCTTGCTCCAAGCCTTTATACAGCTCATCAGTGATCTTCTTCCTCAGGGCCTCCTCATCCACTGGGGACAAAAATAGAAAAAGAAGCAGAGAGGGGGAAAAAAAAGAGAGTTAAAGTGAGACATTTTAAGTAAACAGCTATTGTTTGCTGACAGGCAAAAAGGTCTAAAAGGTAAAAGAAAAAGAAAAAAAAGAAAGGGGAAGAGAACAGTGGGTGTTTTTCTAAAAAGTTTTGCAACATCTGCATTAATCAGAAAATGTGTTGCTCAGAAAGAACATTCAGTCTATAATGACTGAGTGAGAATCGTCAGTATTTGGGTTGTCGTCGGCTAAAGCTGCAATTAATCGTGTTTGAAAATGATGGAAGTTGCAAAGCTAATGAAAGATTAACGATGTTGAAATTTCTCAGAGTCAAAGATGACGTATTTAAATGTCAAAAACCCTGAGATCTGTTATACCGCCATTGGAAAGGAGATATCATTCAAAAATAACATGGGTAATGTCTGGCAAGGTTGCCGGAAAAAATGACTTAAAACAGCCATTAGCAGTCGTATTTTTGTTGATTGGTTCATGACTTCAGCTGTTTTATGAAGTGTTTACTGAGTTCAGTGCAAGTTCTCTGTGTTTGCTGGGAGTGAAGCAATGTGGGACTGAAAGCTTGGCCCTCAGGCTACAGTGTGTGTGTGTGTGTGTGTGTGTGTGTGTGTGTGTGTGTCGGTGTCATAGGCAGCAAAGACCTACAGAATTACAACACACACTTCCAGTAAAAACCACACAGAGACATACACACATCCTTAAATCACAGCAGCACGGTACCACCTCGTCTACATATATTCATGTCAGGGACGTCATACGTGTATGACTCCGTGTCTTCGCCGGTCTATCTTGGCAGGTAATTAAGCATGAAAGTAAAGATGCCAGCCGGCGACCAGGCCAAAACGTGCTCTGAAGACAGAAGTGCCATGCGGTGCGCTGCGACACTGCAGCGATTGGGTAGAGAGGTGGGGGGAGGGAGGGAAGTGTCGGAGTCTGTCAAGATTACTCTCCTACTGCATTAGTTAGATGGGATAATCCTTATTGTCAGAGTCTATTATTACCTGGTAACATGTGGTAACAGCAGGCCACAAAAACCTAATTCCAGCTGAATCAGATTAGCACTAAGGGGGAAAACAAAAGGGCCAGAAATATGCAAAGCTGCTCTTTATTTATCATCTCGGGCCAGTTAAACACGTAGAGGGGAAGAAAAAAAACACCATATCGTAAAGTAAAACTGCCTTATGCTTTTGCATTGCTCTGAGTAGCAGCAGATACTCTGTAATTGTAAAAAGCTGCGGTGTTTAGGGGTTACTATAGTTGTGATTTCACATCTGTCCAAACGGAAAGAACTCCTCAACTTGCCTCACTCCCTTAAATGCTTTTACCCCTCAGATTTAAACCCTTCCTTTAGCCTAATTACTGCGATTATAGACAGTCTAAAAGCAAGAAACCCAAATTGTAGATTAAAAATACAACTGTCATATAAATGTTTTAAACGTCACTTGACCCTGACAACTAGTTAAAACCTGTGCGTGAAGGATTGCTGATTCTGATTATACAACTTTAGTTTTAGGGGGGTGGGTTTTGTTAACTGGTATCTGTACTGGCCTCAGTGCCTTCGATATATTCCACACTTATGAAAACTGAAATAAAGATGCATTACTTCACTAATTAGATACATTAAATTCTGAATAATATGTCAATAGTTAATCAGGGACACAAAAAGTTCCAATTTTTTAAGTTGGTGTTAAACAGTCTGAACGTTGTTATTAATCTCAAATAACCTTTCAATATTAAAAGCTTGACAGCACGAAGACCGTAATTTTCTTCAGTTGTTTGGTGTTAAGATAAAAATAGGTAAACGATACCGTTGAAGTGACAGCACCTGGTTACAGAGATACTAGATGATGCAAGTGGTGTCATGGATACATAAAATCTCATTTTAGAATCTTCACCTCCTTCAGCACCTGAGTAAAACAACACTCCCAGTAATTTGTTCACTCCTGCGTCAAACACACAAAAATACACAAAATCACAAGTTAACTTAATCCTTTCTTTGCCTTCTACCATCTAGAAAACTTTTCTTCTCTGCAGCAAACAACACATAACAAGAAGTCACAGTGTGACTATTTGGTACAGTAAAGAGAATGAATAAGCGTCAGGCTGTGGGAGGTTCGGTTTGACAGGGCTTTAGAAGAAACACTAGAACAAACAGAGGTGGTGATTGACAGTTGACAACTTCTTGCTGCATAGTGTATCCTCAAAGACAGAGGCTGCCGTCACCTACAGTCCAGAGGGTGAGAAAATTATATCCATCGTGTCAGACTGCACTCAGAAGCACAATTGATCTCATTGCAGAGGAGAGTCTAATTACAACTGTGTTAAGAAGTTCAGAAGAAAGACAACCTGTAGGCTTGAAAGCCAGGCAGAGGCTCTGTCACGGCGACGTCAGTCAAGTCCCAAGCAATAATGCTTTTTCTTTTTACATCACATCAAATAAAAATCTGTAAAATCTTTGAGAGATATGCTATCGCTTGAGAAGAATAATGCAGTGAACACTAGACATCCAGAAATGTGCACTTTAGTTACACGTGTGACTCCTGGAGATGACAGACTCAGCTATCAATATCAATATATCTGATCAACATCATATTTACTGTGATGTCATTCCAGCCAACTAGTCTGTTCGATATCACTGCGATAGTGACAACTAAGAAGACCACAAAACCAGTCACCTTTGGCTCCGGCTTTGACAGAAAGACATGATATATTAATATTTACGTGGTAACCATGAAGCAAACGTGTCACTCAACCAGCCAACTCTGCTGATTTAGCATCCTTTAGCTCACAGTTTGGCTATTAAAGTTCACAAGTTTGCCGTTGAGGTTTGCATTCACAGGTTCCTTTTTTTTTAAGCAGCCAAAAGCAGTTGTTTTTGGTGGAATACCACTGATGGACTGTACAGAGTGGATAATACAGCAGATCGTAAGTCAAATATCCTCTCGAGAAGAAAAGTCTTGCATCTTTAAATAAACTGCTTCAAATCAAAGTTTCAATAAATTTCTGAAATAAACAATGATTTCCTGTACTTTGGTACTACACTATTCTGTGGTGTCTGTGCTAATTGTTAATGCTTCTTCATATCTTCTAAAAGCAGCAACAGGCATCCTCTTAAGACACTGTTTTCTGCATTTTGTGAGTAAGCAAGGGTCAGCAACTACACAACAAGGGTGGTAGTGTGCATGTGTGGAATATGCAGATGCTAATCTACTGCACATGTATGAAACAAAGTCCTCCAAGCGGACTAGGAAGTAGTATAATATCGACTTGGCATCCATAGCGGTCAAGAATGTAGTAATATCAATATTAATTAATATTAATACCAGTATTGCCCAAACGTGGCTGGGGAAGTCTTTCCTTTTACCTTTAGAAAACAGCTACAAAAAATGCATTTGTTGAAAATTTTCCAATTACGTACTATTCTTCCATAAAATCTTTAGACTACATGAACACACTGGGCACTTCAACACAAAAATCAAATCCTGTCATAATGAACTTTAAAGGTAAGGCTGCGATTTCAGCATCAACTGCCCTTTACAATATCTTACACTTCCATTGAAAATATATACCCTCTAGTAGCGCGCAATGGAAAGTAAAATTTAAAAAGTCCTCCAAGTTCAGGCAAGCTTAAGCAACTCCCCATTTATCACCACATCCTCTCCAGTCATGCAGAGAGAGGCTTCAGATTGCTAGCGGGCCCGCAGGGTCAGTCGGAGAACAGGTTCTGATATGATAAACACTGTCTGGGGTCCTTGAGGGAGGCTGGTTAGGGTCAGAGACAATTCCAGATCGACAGAGCCTGTGTCAATCCTGAGTAGGACATGTAAATGTTAAAAAGATTAAAAACTCATCATCTTTTTAGACGTGTCCCCCTCCTTCCCTTTTCCACCAATCACTAAACCCTGTGGAAAAACCCACAGAGGAGGAGGCGAGGCGATGGAGCACAGGCTATTGGCAGTGGAGATAATAGACGAAGGCAAATTGCGTTTCTCATCAGAAGTTTCATTAACCCCAGGACCCGCATGGAGGGCATAATCTGTAACATTACCACTTCCTCACGTTTCTACCTTGCGCTTAGTCGAGTCACCACACATCTTTCACTATGTACAAATAGGGGAAAAAAGGAAGGGAAAAGCGCCAGGAGCAGGCTTCCAGCCCTGGCAGGCAGGTGCCATTCTGATCATCTGATTTTCTCTATTATTCACACTCTTCCCCGTTCATTCAATCTCATGTGTTGGAATAGGCGCTAACTGATCATTTTGACAAAACAACAAGAAAAGTTTCAAAAGGCGAGAGGTGCATTTCACGAGCTTGACATTCCCATTTATGCACGCACACACTAAGACACTCCCATTTCTGCCATTGTTTTCCTTTGTCTCTCTCATTTTCCTCATTCTCTCTGCTGCACCTGGGAGACATCTTTAAGCAGGCTATTAGTCCAGAGCAGTGTGTGGGCTCTGGCATATGAATATTTATAGCACATTGGAGAAGGTGTAGGAGGTTCAACCTTGACTATGGTGTAATCAGCACACATACTGACTCAGGCCATGATTTAGAGACAGCCGACCTGCTGAGAGCCTCACTCGATACCCAACTCTCGTGGACACACATAATCAATGTCCGCCTCATTAAGGTCGTACCCTTTGAGGATTGGGCTGAACTTTGCAACATTTTTAACGAGATTCACATTCACATTCATCATACCATTTTTTTTTTTTTTATTCCTTAAAAAGATCATACTTGATCAATCGCCCGAGTTGACTTTTCTCCTCTCTTTTATGATACTTTTTAAACGTGGTATAAGCTGTGAGGTGACCTTGCAAGAAGAGTATATTCAAAATACCTCAATAAATGTCAACGCGCATTATGGTTGCATGACGAGTATAAGCGTCAGTGTCTGGCAGGAGTCAGGTACATACTTGCAGATAAATGGAAACTCTGATGGTGACTGTGGAGCAACATTAAA